TTCTATAATTAGGCACCTTTGTCGATAGTTAGGCGGAGACAGAGCAGACCGCCGTGCGCTTGCTTGCTAGACTAAAAGATCCTGCCATGGCGCCGTGAGGTAACCAGATATAAATTTTCGAGGACGGGTTGGGGGCATTGCGCTGATTTGAGAGGGTATTTGAAGGCATTGCTACTTACAGAAGCATTCTCTCGCTCTGTCACATTTTACTCATTCACCCCTTTCGATAGTGCGTGATAGGCCACGGTACGCATACACGAGCTGAACTTCCAGCCTTTTTTCTCTGTTCACATTCCGCGCGCTCGCAAAAAATAGCCCGTTTCTTCTCTGCAGTTGTTCATCGTTCTCCTGATTACAAGGTTGCTGCGATATTCGTCTGCGTCTATGCATACAATATGACCGCGTTTGTATGCGCCATATTTAGTATGCAGTATGCAGTTGTAGGTGCCATATTCGTATGGTTCTTCTTCTATATTTATTTCAATATTTGTAGCTTCATATCTGTAGAAGCATAGGCTAAAGCGTCAGCGCATTTAACAGTTTTTGTTGTTTAGCTAGCCTACAGTACGAAGCATGCTATCCCACTCCCACATGGGTGCCGTAAAACCTCGCCAGATCTCACCAGCTCTTTCTTAGTGACGCTTTGGATGTCGACAAGTATCACCAAAGTTTTGGTCCACCGTGTCAGGGAACCTAATATATGCGACCCACCAGCCGCCCTGTATACTATAACCCAATCCGAGGTAGCTTCATAGCTGTTCGCGCGTCTCACTGTTTTAGTAGCATAAATATAGAGTTTTACTTGCCCAAGCCACGATATGACTTTGATGCACGCTTAAGTAGAGAGCTCTGGAAATATTTATCATCTGATGTTCTGTACCCTTCAGTCACATCACATAGTATATATTAGCCTCTGGAATTTTGGCTCTCTGACGTTTTTCTGCGCGGCTAAATGGCAAAAAGGCAGGAGGTAAATACCTAAATATTCTGTACGTAACGAGCATACACTGTACCAAGAATACCATTCCTTCGTAGAGCCAGCCTTGAGATACCTTGTTTAGCACTGTTCATATTATGGTGCGCCAGCCTGATCTGTCTCACCAGCAAAGTTGGACGCTGCGCTACATGCTTCCGAACCACGGATCACTTTTGCTACCCCTTGAAGTTGCCACTCAGTAAGTCGATAAACGCGTATCCACTTATGTGACCACACGTACCATGTAGTTTAAAGCTAACGCCACAAACTTCGCCCCGTCTGCCCACTGAACGCTTTTGCTATAGATACCATATTTGCTCGAACAAAACATGTTTTTTTTCTTCTTCTTTTTTTTTCTCGAATTTCAGCTACCTAAAGTAGACCCTCGCCTTACAATCGAATACCGCGTCTATATTTCTTCTCGTTCTGGACTCCATGAAAAGTCATTGCTGACGTTACGATCGTCGCGTCAGAATCGAGCAGACACGGTACGTGTGTGTCTTGCTGCAAGTGTGCCGATCGAATATGCTACACGGAAAAAAGAAGTAAGTATGAGAGGACGACATGGCGCACGCCACGCGGCAAAGCCAGTTGAGATTCGTATTCGAATAAAGGGCACGTGCAGTGGTGGTGGAGGTGGTATAATAACCAATAAATGGTTACAGAGAGGTGATTGGGTTGGTGCCTTATTGGCCTTCTCCTCTCACCGCACAAGGTGGAACCCATATCCCGGAGCTCCATAGGCAAGCAATGCCGCCCGCGTCCGTTGAACAAGGGCCGCCTTCAGGCCCTGACAGCTGAACAGGGCCACCTCCCAAGCCTCCCTCGTAGGAGGGGGGTGGGGGGTGGGGGAGGATAGATGGATTTGACTGGCACGGCCAGGCTATGTGGAAGGAGTCAGCCACACAGAACTGGCACGTGCCATCAAAGGATGAATTGAAATGTTTTAGCTCCACCGGGCGCAGTAAAGTATTGGTAAACAGTTCGAACGCACTGTCCTCTCATGACCGCATTGCCCGTCCCTTAAAACTAAACTTGCTCCATCTTCAGAAAAGGTTCTTCTCGCCTTTGGATGTCCCATGCTGGCTGGAGTCCCTGTCTTCCACTATATAGAACAATGCCTCGCTCCTCGATAATTCTTCCGAATTAAAGCAGCGTTGTTTTGCTTGTTTCCATAGTTTCCGCTGTTTGGGGTATCTGTATGATTCTACATGTTCGAAGTATACGAATGAACGCGACCGCCAAGCCTAGTCTATGATCGAGTTTGCCTCTCGTTTATCACGGTTATTCCTCGAATAAGCGGTAATTTTACACGTGCGGAGGTATAAGTCATACGCACGAACGCACCAAGCAGCTTCCTCGGGGCTCGATTTTTGTAAACGCTGCACTACTAATTATCGCGGGGGGGCGACAAGACAGACTCGACAGGAAAGCTCGAATATCGGTCGACTCTTCGCCTCGGGCGCCTGTGATACGATTCATCCACAACGGCCCTCCGAAACCGACACCCGAGATTTTTGTTTCCCCGAGAGTCGACGAAAAATTAGCCCGCCCTGCCGTCGACCGAGTGCCGCTCATCCGCGCTCGCTCGTGACGAGTGTGCGCTCCCGTATCGCAACCGCGCATCTTTACCGAGAATGCCCTGCGCTCCGCTCTGCTCGTTTTCCTCATTATAATCACTAAATGCCACCTCGCTCAGCACCGTTCGATCCTTCCACGGCTGGAACTGGGTGGTCGTGTTGTGTTCCGAAAGAACGTACTCATATAAACGGCTTCGCTCTGGTCGGTAGCGCCTTTCAGAAACAAGGGCGCCTCACACTCGTCCGTTGCGAGTTAAATTACTGTTCCTCTCGGCCGTACACCAGACAGCCAATCCGCGCATGCGCTAGTGTATCCTATCAGTTGCCATAGACTCGATCGAATTGTTTGTTTCAAAAAGCATCTCCGCGTAAGTTCAACCACACCCTACTACGACAACTACAATAGCATGCGTGCTCACAATGAACTCGTGAGTATAAGCGCCTATAAATGATACGGCGAGCGAGCTCTCTGCCCGGTCGCAGTCACGACTGCAGCGCGCGAACACGGATTAGTGGCGGTGACGGCAATAGAAACTCTCTGGTGTGCACACAGCCGACAATAGCCAAGGCGAGAAGCGCCCCGCATGAACGTGCTACCGATTGCTCTCTTCACCCTGCGCTCAATCCCCGCTCGCGATCGGGCGCCTGCAGTTTGCACGGACGCACGCACGTACGATCGAGTGATTGGGTCGGGTAATAAAGCCTTTCCTGCTTGCGTCGTTGAATGGTGTTACTAGGAGTGCAGAAACCCCGTTCGTCAGAATGCGAGTAATGAACGGTAAACGAAGGCCCTCCAATTCAATTACCAACTTGGTCTTTCATTCAAACTTTTATTTGAGTTCTATTCACTTTGATGTTATTGGCGCTTGTATATGTTTGCACTGATTTCGCATTGTCGGGCGGCACGAGCACACTGCCAAGTGATACAGCACACGAGTGGTGGGCTGAATGAAAGAGACAGCTCTTGCAATTTCCATCGCCTCTCTTCGTTTGTTCATTTACAGCGACGTCTATAGGACGCTAGTTACCCGCCTTTCCTACACGCACATATCGAAGAAATAGCGTAAACATAGGTAGCAACGGAATAAACGAAGGGAAAGTTTGCTGAGTTGTGGTTTCGATGGCAGTGCCCGTGTACATGGGGGTTGGGGTCACGTTGGCATTGCCATTGAATAGATTGTTAAGGTCAAACAGGCATTCATCGACCAAAAGCAGTCTTTGCTGTAACATTCGGCCGCGCCGCTCCTGCTATCTATCTCACTAACAGCAGGCTATATATACACCATTTACCACTCCCTGGGCTCAGTAAACTTAAACATTCCCGTTGTTCAAAAATGTTTCTTTTAGGTCCATTGACAATAATTAAGGTTGCCTTAACCACCGGTTTCATGGCCAAATGCCCCGTGGTGGGCGGAAGCTGCATGTAAAGGAACAACCAAGCAAAACAAGAAGCTGCTCCCACCATCCAGCTTCTTCCGGCGTCGATGCCCACCCTGCAATGTCTAGGACATTCTGAGGGGAACGTTTTAGTGAAGTGCATTGGAACTGTGCTTTTTGCTACCGCCACCGGCATCGTCGACGTGGATGAATGCCCAAGAAGCAAACGCCGGGAAAATGCCGGGAAAATCGCTGTATTTAGTTCCACATTTGAGAAGCCACCGCGTATTCTATCACACCTGAGGAACAGCTATAACGGAATGTTAGTAACGCTGAAGCAAGGCTGGCTTGCACACGTGCTTAGACACAGGAACAACCTGCTGCTGGGCGTGAGAGAAACGCTGTTGCTCAACGCATATTCGACCGTGTTGACTACATTTCGTTTGGTTCTTAACTATCCTATCCTAACTTCGTACAACAGTCCAATGTGTCACTATCACATGCATTGCTTCGGCCTTGTGGCGAAACTCTAACGTTTTCTTCTCACAAGCAATTTGTCGCGATTCGAAAAGACATACGTAAAATGGATTTCGTTATTCGGGCAAAAACTGTGCAGAACCTTTCGCACGCGTGATAAACTCTGTCGGCTCTTGCTGTAATAGTTTCATGCATTCACACGCGTGGCGTGACGCAATAAACAGCGTGAATAAAACCGTTTTTGTGCACTGCTCTGAACGTTTCTGTGGGTTTGCAAGCGCGTTCGAATGACGCGCTTTGCAACTGTCTTGCACGCAATTCTCAACAAAGTGCTCCCAAGGGATAAGAAATGGAGAGCGGGTGGCTGAGCGTGCAGAATACCGAAGTGCTCCGACGACGAGGTCATTACAGCCTTCGTATTCCACGAAGGCCCAGCGTATATTACGACGCACCATCCACGTGGGCCGCCTCGGGAGCGCGAGATCACAATGAGAAAGTGGTCGTTGCCGGCGCGCGATAATGGTGCGAATGGGACTCCGGCGCATCATTCTCATAGCTTTCACTTTCTCTCTCCACAGGTGCGTGGAAGTGGAGCGGCGTCATGGCGGCGGCGGCTGTGACTTCCGGTCCGCGAACAAAATGGCGGAAGCCGGAGTTCCGCTTCCCCGGTGTCGTCGGATGGTTTACCTTGCACACAGCCCTACATCTGTTGGCGTTGACCGAATGCCTGGCGCCACCGACCACCACTACGTCGAGTCAAGGTGAGAGTGCTGAATATTTCGATGGCGCCCAAGTGTGACGTCACAGGATGCAGACACCGCCTTTAGGCTGTAACAAAGACGCAAGGGCTGACCACATGCGAGTCAATCACTCTGCGAAATGACAAAAAGAATATCTTTAGCATTTGATTCTTGTTTCTTGAAATTTTTAAACAGTCGCAGTTTTGACAGTAGCAACTTGCAAAATATGCATCAAAACTCGCCCTAATTACAATCCACTTATCATGTTTTCATGTGCCGCCCTTTGCCGTTCCAGTAGCGTTCTTGTAAAGGCTGGGACGACTTGTATGAAAAAAAAATGAAGCCTCCGAAAGCAAGAGGCGATTCGCTACTTTTGCACTATACAGAGAAAGGCCAGAGTCATCCGGCGTAGCATCGTCAAAAGGGGGGCTCTAGTGTAAGAGAGAAAGAGAGAGGGAGAGAAAACAAAAGAACAACACTCACAAGTAAGACACGTATGTGTTTCGACAGCCAAAGGTGGCGCCAGGATGTATTTACCAGGGAGGGGCGGGGGGGCAGGTGGGGCGCCTACTACAAGTGAGTCCCTTCAGGGGGGCAGCGAGGCAGGGAACATATGCGTTTTTTTTTACTATGCCTACTATCGGGGGGGGGGGGCAAAGTGGGGAGGGGCAGGCAGAAATTTTCGGGGGTCCAGCCCCCCTTCCGTCATACGCTCCACTGGAGCTGCCACTGTCGGCATCATTTTGTAGCTTCATCATTTTCATACTTTTTTTTCCTTCTTTTGTTATGATTAAAGTGTGCTTATAACATACCTGCTACGTTAAAACAATCCCTTTCGTTAAATGCACATTTATTAAACCCGCTACTAGCAGTGAATATGAGTATAACCAGTGTACCGTATGCTCACAGACGAGGGGAACCTGAAATAAAACAAAAATGAATGAAACAAAATTGCCTCTAGAACTGAGACAATCTAAACAAGTGATTACACTGTGCTGCTAATCAAATGGTTTATGAAGTAGAAAAGCAACACAATTGCAACTAGTCTATGAAACCAAGGCTATTAGATGCACCAAACGAGAAAGCAAGATCACTGATTTGATTTGACGTGGCGGTGAAGGCTGCCATCGTGCACCTGCTGGAAGGAAGGGGGGGAGGAAAGGAACGACAGGGAGGTTGCAACTGCTGGACGCCATAACCGTCACGAACCGTGTAAAGTGAACGAAGCGCAAAAGAAAAAAAAACAAGAACAAAGAAACAAACAAAAACAACATGTATGCGTAGAGTGAGAACCATATACAATGCTGAAACATAATCTTTCAGGATACATGATCGTGTTGCACCTGATATGAAAACACAGAAAAAAGTGATTCACTTTTTTTATACGTACAAAATGTGTTTGTAACCCAAAAATTGACGCTGGATTCATAAATGTTTCAACTCAAAATGGTCAAATTTTTTTGTAAATACGCGTGAGATCAAAATGATCTAGACTTAGTTCCGAAGACAAAAAAATACGAAGATTTCGGAAGAGCTTTTATGAATTCAGGGCCTGATTTTCATCACATTTGCAAAACATACCGTTTTAAGAGTATTTTCTATGGGCTCATGGCCATGCATTATGACAATCAGTGAACAGCTGCTGTCACGGACCGTATATTTACCGCGTCGTCATTTACAGTTGACGCCCTCATTTCTTGCTTATGCCTGGTATTCATATATTTTCTTTGTAACAGTACCTTACTACAGCAGGCTATTACCTAGAGATTGTTTACATTTCTCACCCATTGAAAGGCAATTCTCCTCTGTGGTGCATGTCGTCAACTGCTCGGGACAATAGCCGGCACAATGGCAGGTTGACGTTCTTGATTGCATGTAATCGCTGGGAAACACTCACTGCAACCCCGCGACTTACCACCTGCTTTCCGACCACTGCGTCGGAGAAGACGCTTGGAAAAAGTTTAAACTGACTCATCCCACACCGTTTACACGAGCACGTTTCACCTGCTTCCCACGTCGGAATTTCTTGGTGTCGGTGAAGAGCTACTGACGGGTGCTGCGTTTAGTTATGTGCAGCAGAGGGGGCCCTGAACATTACAATATACGCGCAACTTTACTCTGAACCAACACCTGAAGAAGGTGAGACAAAAAGCAATAATAATAATACATGGGGTTTAACATTCGAAACCACGATATGTTTGTCAGAGACATCGTAGGGGAGGGCTCCGCAGATTTGTAGTGTTCTTTATTATGCGCCGACACCACACAGTCCTCTACTATTTCACTTCCACCTAGTTGCCATCACTTCACCTCTTCGGCCGGTATCGAACCGGCTACCTTGAGGTCAGAAGTTCGGTCCCGTAACCTGGTTCTATAGTAATGTTGACCACCGTGGCGGACGTGACAACGAGAAGTTAATCACTACTGCAGTGTTTTTGCGATGACGAAATGCGCTAACCCTGAAATTTTAACGTGAACTTTGTCACGACTGATTCCAATTCTCTCTTGGGAAGTATTTTATCGTAACCTTTTTTTGGTGAGCTCGTACCTCTACGTCGCATGCATTATTAGCGAAGATTTACTTGCAAACCTTAAAGGTCACTAGTGAATTGAGCGCAAGTACGACGTTGAGTAGACCTGCGTAAACTTTGCACGAGCGAAAACAGTTCAATAGAGAAAGCGAACATGCTATCAGCGAGTACGACTGACCAATAAAACGAATTCTCTAAAAAAAAAAAGAAACAACCGGCGCCCTTGTCTTATGGAGGAAATGGAGACAAGCGACGCTTGGCATGTACGGATGTGACGTACAGCTTTTCTTCTTGACGTACACAGCCTACCGTTTTCAACTTGAATTGCCGGCCATTCCTTCTTTTCATGCATTAAATTGCATTAAATTGCACTGATATCAGTTTACTACACCGCCAGGCCTTTCAAAGGCAGAACCTCTGACAGCTGTTGTCGCACAAATGAGGCCAGTGCGCGTTGAATTACAGTAATCAGAGGCAATGATGCGAGACGGTGCAAGGCACTCAGGTGCTTGACACTTAATTTCCTAGTTGCTGTTGCGTGTTATGCGCATTCTAAGTTACGAAATCACACGCCCCCTTGCTCGATCTGAAATACACCACAATACTTTGCTCTATTTCATTTTTTTTTTTTGTCATTGAGGACGGCAGAATTGCATACCTTCGAAGTGCCATCCCCCTCAATCCAAATCATTAAAAAAAAAAGAGTACGTATTCATGCATGCTTAGTCGTTGTGCATCGGAAAATCAGATATTGAGGATCTATACACTACCTGTAAATTGTTTTATTGCCTCTGCAGCGGGTTGGCTGTGACGGGCAAATGAAGAGGAGTAGGTGTACACGTTGTATTCGCTCGCTCCATGGCAGCTACCAAACAACACCGCGATCGTGTCAATCCTGAACGACCTCTTCCGCGGCGAAAGCGAAGAAGGTGCGAAGAAGGCGAAACGATCGACTCTCGTTTTCTTTCACGCGTCAGTCTATTTCACAGCTGCGAGTCCGACTGACTCATGCACTTCCTCGCCCTTCCCCGAATCACCAATCGTAACCTGGATCTGAGACGCGAACGGCTGTCGCGATTCAGCGCGAGGGCCGCTTGCTGCTGCCCGCACGGTCGTGCTGGACAGGCATAAAGACCGGCTTCTTTTCTCTCTTCCACGAAGTTGCGTGCTTGCACCAGCGACAATGGAGGGCAACTGACCGCGCCGAGGCGCGGCTGCCCCGCACGCGAAGCCGAGCGAAACCCGCATTAACTGCGGCATCTACCAGGCAAGAAGAGCGATATGTACGCGTCGGCTCGCTTGTCGCTATCGCGTGCCCCGCGTGCGCAACGAATGCGAAAGTATGCGACGTACAGGCGGCTGACAGTGGCGCCCCCTATAGTTGGGGCGACGTCTGCGGGTATCGGACAAATTGCCCGCCACGGATGGCGGCTCGGTAAACTGCGAAGAAAACGCAACGAGCGAACCGAACAAAACTGTGCCTCTGTGTCACGTGACCTCACCGCCGCGGTGCCGGTTGTCATGTCTGTTGGGTATGTCGAATTGACGGGGCACGCTGCGTTACTGCTTCACGGCAGTCAAAGCGATAAGCGAAAATGCATACGACCGCCAACGATGCCAGCGGGCCAGTGTCGCCGGTGTGTTAGCGAGTTTATCCGTCTTTCGCCCCGTTTTCATTCCGTCCCGTTAGCGTTGCGCTGAAAACAATGTGAACGAGGTTTGAACAATTTTCGGGTGGCGCGCACACGCAACACTCCATTATTCGCGCAGCTTCCAGCGCTCGGGCGAGGCACTGGCGATTCATGTTCGAACTGCTTCGTACGGCGTTTCTCCCAATTGTTTTCGTTCGTCCGTGCAGTGCTCGCTTCGCTTTCGATTGTGTTTTTTTTTTTTTTCATTTCGGTCCAGCTCCTCCCACCGAGGCGTGTGTCCCAGAGGCTGGCAACAATGGAATGCGTGTCGCGTGGTCGCCGCTTCTGGCGAAAACGTTGTTTCGCCCGTGAAACAGGTCACTGGTTGCGCGGTTACGCTCTTTTGTTGGCTCGTTAACCGTGTACACTAGCATAATGGTGACAGCGCGAAAATCGCTACTCTCTTGCGTGATAACCGTGCTTCGGTGTTTTGAAAAGCGAACGCCATTTTCTTATATCGTAGAAAGATAGATATGTGGGGTTTAACGTCCCAAAGACACCATATGATTATGAGAGACGCCGTAGTGGAGGGCTCCGGAAATTTTGACCACCCGGGGTTCTTTAACGTGCATCCAAATCTGAGCACACGGGCCTGCAACATTTTCGCCTCCATCGTGAATGCAGAGGCCGCAGCCAGGATTCGATCCTGCGACCTGTGGGCAGGGCAATAGCGTATAAACTAGACCACCGCGGCAGGGCAATAGCGTAGAAAGGCTATAGCGGGTTGATGAAACACGTCTCACAGTTCGTGGGGACATCTGGGCTGACTTTCGGCGTCATGTCGGGTGCGTTCTCGTTG